GATGTAGATAGAAAGATACTGCATAATCTCATGTGTGGAATCTAAGAAAGTCAAATACATAGAAACAGTAAGTAGAAGGGACTGGTAGATAGGAGAAAGGGGATATGTTGGTCAAACAGCACAAACTTTTAGTAGTAAGATGAATAAATTCTGGAAATCTAGTGTACAGCATGGTGACTACAGTTAATGACAGTTAATAATAATGTATTATATACTTGAAATTTACTAAGATAGTAGATCTTAAGTGTTCTCACAATGTTAAGAAAATGATAACCAAAGTTTCAGCTTTTAAAGGCTATAAATTTCACTTTGGCTTTGCCCATCCAAAAGGGACTTTCAGGTTCTTATACTCATAAGTGTTCTAATGATGAGGTGGGGTGAACTGACACCAGATCTAGAGGTTAATAGTGAGCTCAGTATGAAGGATGCTGATGTGCCCTATGATCAGCCCCTTCCCTTCACCAGATAAGTTGGAGTCATCTGAGACTCCAATAAGGTAGATATTCTCATTTAAAGAGTGAGACAGAAATCTCAAGGTGGCCTCCAGAGCTAATGCCCTTAGTATCTGTCCTGAGAGTGGAGGAAATTGCAATGGGAAGACCCTGAGGCAAGAAAGTGATCAGAGGAAAACTCTAGGTCAGTTGCTCCTGGAAGGGTGATTTTGGTTTCAAATTGATATTAATTATAGCTAATACATGTATCTGTCACTGAAATCCCTTGTGCAATGGCAATGAATATAGCTATTTTCCCCCAAGAAAACTTTTTTATGGCTTAAGCATCACCAGATGACTGAAAGCTATACAGGTATCATATGTTGTAGAGAAAAAAGCCACTGAAAGCTCTGGAGAGAAGTGGCAGTGGTACCACTCCAATGAAGACAGAACACCTGCCAAGGGGCCTCCAGAAAAGGTTGCAGGGAAATGACACCAGTGCAGCACTGATGATCTCTGAGCAGCAGGCTGGTATAGACAGTGGCCTCATCCTAGATCTGAAAGAAAGGTTATAATCTTAACCTGAGACAAAGGTAGCAAGAAAGGCACAAACAGCAGCAGATGCACTGAGAAAGGGCAAAGCTAGGCACCATCCAGGAATGTAGAGAATCCTAGGAAAGAGAAGAGATCCCCAATCCTGCAGTCATGCAGGTACTGGACAGCAAAGCTAATAAATATCTGAGTTAAATGGCAAAGTGACAATTCTGTATCTAAAAACTGGAATTTGGGGGTGTGGAATTCTGTATTATTTTATTCTTCTTTTTCTTTTCTTTCTTCCTTTTGTTCCACTTCTCTCTATTTCCTATTTTTTCTATTAATAAATATAAACTGCTTATGTAAGTGAAAAGTGTTCTGTTTTTCATAAAATGCTCCCAAAAAAGGTCTTAGCTTGCACTGGTGAAAAGATTCCTGACCTAAAGAGTTCTACCACTGGAAATTATAGCCACAGTCCAACCTTCACTGATCTGCTTACCCCGGCATGCAAGTCTTACATCAACTGTAAGGGCAACGTTGCTAAATTAGAGGTGAAAGGGTTTGATGCTGACTTGTTTCAAAGGAGTAGTTGGAAGAATTGAAGTGTCTAGCCTGGAGAAGAGATCTCTCAGTGGGAAGAAGAGTAGCTGTTTCTAGTACAACATAGGAGTTTACTTCATGTTTTTGAATAATTGATAATCAAATAAATGACATCTTCCTGACTAGATTATTAGCTTTTTTATGAAAGGAACTTGTGAATTGTACTTCTTTTTATCCCTTCAAAGCCTATTACCTTGCTTTGCATATAGTAAACATTCAGAAACTGTTTAGTGGTTGATTATATTTCATTCTCAGACCTACCATACTTCTCTATTAATAGCAGAGCCCAGGAGCTAGGAACCAAGGGAAGAATCCTCTTTCATCTGTCTGCTCTTCCGACTCACCCTTTACCCCCAGACTTCTTGACTGAGGAACTTCTCACCTTCTTATCTCCAATGACCTTCATCTCCAATCTACCTAGCCCGTTCACTGCTGTTCACATGGGCACTCCCCATCATTCTGCACAATCTACCAACTGAGATTTTAAACTTGGAAATTCCAATTGCATTGTCAAACTTTCTAAGCAAATGGCCTAGCAATGCCTCTAAGCTAGCATGTTAAGACTAAATTCATCATCTTATTATCCAAATTTGTTCCTTGTTTTGTTTTCTGTATTTCTGGTTACTGTGCAATTATAGGCCTGTGTATTATTTAAAAACTTCACGTTATTACTCTCCTAAATCCAAATGCTCAGTAGAAAAAAGCATCTTGTTTTTCCCATTGAATCACTCTCCTATCTGAACTGTCTTCTCCATTAGCTATTTATCATACTCTCATTAGCTACTCTCTGGATTATAACATTAGCATTCTAATTCAACTCCTCACTTCCTTCTTTAGACACCAACAAATCTTTCACATTGTTCCCAGATTAGTGTTACCAATATCCTACTCTGATTATGGTACTTCCTCACTAAAAAGCCTTCCTGACTTGCTTCAGGACTAAATAAATTCTAAATCCTCTGATTTGTTACACAAAACTTTTAACAAATTGTTCCTAATCTGTTTATACCAGCATGATTTCCAACAACGTCTGTAAATCAGCTCTCTGCTTTAAGCAATTTGTTCTAACCAAATATCTTCTATGCTTTTCAGCCCCTCAAAGTTTCCATTGTTCTTCTATCTTCAAGCCCCAAATTAAACACCACCCCTGCTTTGCATCCTGCTCTGATCTCCCCTCCCTTGAGTCAAAAAATTGATTACTTCTCCCCCAAACTTTCATAACACTCTCTCATGTTACTTTTACCACTCTCATATTTTCATGAAAATATATAAATTTGGCTGATTTTTCCATGACCAAGTATACATGATGTAATGTAATGAGACCTTACAGTATACATCCTGTGCTATTCATTTATTAATTTAAAATATTTATTGAACACCTAATGCATGTTAGATGATAGAGATAGAGTAATGAACAAGATGGACTTGTCCTTATTTTCTTAGTGCTTAATTTTTCTTGGAAGACTATTGGCAAATAAATAACTAACAAATAGTTTATTAATTAAAATTATGATAAATACTAAAAAGAAAAGGTATACAGTGATATATGGATATATAGAAGGCAGACATGTAAGATAATATTGTTTTATTATTCAAAATATCCTTCCGAAATGGAGCTGTATTCAGTCTGGCCTAAAACTATTTGCTTGTTTAATAGAAACTATTTTTCTCAGTATATAACATGATCTAGCAATTAAGGGTAAAAACAATTATATCAGAGGTACAAAATAGGAAACTAAATTTCCACTCTTACGCAACCATAACTGACTAGTTTAGCTGCAAACATTAGTCAAAAGTATTGCCTTTTTCTTCCTTGTTGTTTTACTCCAGAGCAGTTATTTTTTGCTTTTACCAGTTGCGTGGAGCCATCAATCACGGCCAGTAATCTCTAACAAAATAAGAAGAGCCAAACCATGAAGAGGCAAGTGATTCATCACTAAGCCTGATGCCAGCTGTAGGGGAAAAAGCCCTCTCTGACTTGGAGCTAGCAGGCACAATAGCACATTATTCCCAGAGGAGCTATGACTTGAAATTTCTGAATGGACTTACTGCCAGTCTCAGCTGGCAGCCCTCTACACATGCACAGACACATAAACTCTTCAAATATATTTTTCCCCAGAATTGAGACTGTTTCTAGTCTTTCTGTATTCATCAACAACAATATTAGACTCTCATTTTTGTTTGTTCCCACTGAATTAATGCTCATACTGCAAGAGTATACAATTCCCTTCTACTCTCTTAAACAAGAGCTTTTATTTTTTTCTTAAATACAAGGTGACATATATATGTTGGCACCTCTTCTGAGTACATGAATACTGAGAATAATAAATTGCAGGCAATAAATGGTCACATAAATAGAAGCAAGAGAGCCACACTTTTATATTGTGACATGTGGATGAAAAAAGGATCCCTAGGACAGAAGGCAATGTTCCAGGTAAAGACTGCCCCACTGGGAATGAGATTGCCTAACAGAATTATCCATACAAAGGTTACTAGGGAAAGCTAGTCATCCTATGGTCTTGAACTGAAAGGAAAATGCAGTGAACTAATATAAGCCATTGCTGCCGTGTCCTATAATTAAATGTTGTTTACATGTCCTTGAAGACTATAAAAGGGCATATAGGACATTTTCCACAATGAGCCATGGATGCTGCCCTTGAAGAAGGGGTAAAGGGGAATGGAAAAATAAAATATGCTTTTCCATGTATTTTCCCCTTTTTCCTGGGGAGGGTGGGTGGCTTGGGGAAGGATTTTTGTGGCAAGCATATTGGAGACATTGTTGAAGAACAGTTCCTCTTCGTATAAAGGTTACCTTTGTAAAGCTGCCAAGGTCAGTGCCCTGGTGGGTTATCTGCCAAGTAAGTGCCAGTTGTAGAATCTATACCGTGGCAGGCATGGAGGCAGGCCTGCTCTCCCACCCTCCTTCTGAATCACCATTCTTTGCTCCTTTGTACCAGAGTTGTCATTTTTCCCACTCTGTGCCCTCCTTTCTCATTGGTGCAATCTCTTTCCTTACATGTGAGCTGAATGTTCTGTTGTTTGCCAGGAAGCCAGGCTTGCTGAATGCTGATTTCATGGAAGTCACACAAGAGAGGGAAACAGTAATTTTCCAAGTAATCTACATAAAAAGTAACCTTATAAGGCATAATGTGCACAACTTGGCCCTTGATCCATTTATGCTTTTTTAAAGAGAGGATTGTGTATGTGTATATATATATATATATATATGTATATATATATATATGATATATGTATGTACAATATAATATATGTCTATGAAATATGTATAGATTTTTCCCTTAATATATACACAAATACACATATATCTTCCATTTTTTCCTGGGTGTTTTAAAGAGCTCTGTCTTTTTTTTTAATCCAATGACTTATTCTTTTCTCTTTTTAAAAGAACCACAAGAAAAGTGCAACTATAGCAGAGGCCTGCCGGAAGCTAAGATGGCGCTGACGTGTTCTTCAGGCTTAAGTTGGCTCCTTGTCAGTATCTAAGCGGGGTGTTTTGGAAGGGGCTGAGGCAAACGCCCTCTGCGCCACCATGGCCCGGCATCGGAATGTCTGAGGCTATAACTACGATGAAGATTTTGAAGATGATGATCTCTATGGCCAGTCTGTAGAGGATGATTATTGTATTTCTCCATCAACAGCTGCTCAGTTTATTTACTCACGACGTGACAAACCTTCTGTTGTTGAGCCTGTAGAAGAATATGATTATGAAGATCTAAGAGAGCCTTCCAATTCTCTTTCAAACCATCAGCTAAGTGCAATTGATCAAGCTCGCCTTTATTCATGCCTGGATCACATGAGAGTGGTACTTGGAGATGCTGTGCCAGATGAAATATTGATCGAAGCAGTTCTGAAGAACAAGTTTGATGTGCAGAAGGCTTTGTCAGTGGTTCTGGAACAAGATAACATGCAGAATTTGAAAGACAAGAGTGAAGGAACAATGTCTACAGGAAGGATAGAAAAAGGAAAATCAGTAGGTTCCCAGTTATCTCGAAATGAATCTGAAATTGTGCCAAAAGTTGCTAAAATGACAGTATCTGGAAAGAAGCAAACTATGGGATTTGAAGTACCTGGAGTAACTTCTGAAGCAAATGATCATAATTTCCACACACCTCAAAAAGGACCGCCTAGAGAAGATGCCAGCATTGCTACTTCTGATGTTCTTGAGATGATGTCTAAGTCAGCAATTCCACCCCACACCATTCAGGCATCAGAAGAGCAGAGTTCAACACCAACGCCAGTGAAAAGGTCTGGCAAGCTGAGGCAGCAAATAGATGTGAAAGCGGAACTGGAGAAGCGGCAAGGAGGGAAGCAGCTCCTCAACTTAGTGGTCATTGGTCATGTTGATGCTGGGAAAAGTACTCTGATGGGCCATATGCTTTATCTTCTGGGCAATGTAAACAAAAGAACTATGCATAAGTATGAGCAGGAGTCTAAGAAGGCTGGCAAAGCTCGTTTGCATATGCATGGGTTTTGGATGAGACTGGTGAAAAAAGGGAAAGGGGAGTAACAATGGATGTTGGGATGACAAAGTTTGAAACCACAACCAAAGTTATTACATTAATGGATGCTCCAGGCCATAAGGATTTCATTCCAAATATGATTACAGGAGCAGCCCAGGCGGATGTAGCTGTTTTAGTTGTAGATGCCAGCAGGGGAGAGTTTGAAGCTGGATTTGAGACTGGAGGACAAACACTAGAGCATGGCCTCTTGGTCCGTTCTCTGGGAGTGACACAGCTTGCAGTTGCAGTCAATAAAATGGATCAGGTTAATTGGCAACAGGAAAGATTTCAAGAGATTACTGGAAAACTTGGACATTTTCTTAAGCAAGCAGGTTTTAAGGAGGGTGATGTGGCTTTTATCCATCCCTACAAGTGGTCTCAGTGGCGACAATCTAATCACAAGATCTCAGTCAAGCGAACTTACGAAATGGTATAAAGGAGTATGTTTATTAGAACAAATTGATTCCTTCAAGCCTCCCCAACGATCTATTGACAAGCCTTTTTGATTATGTGTGTCTGATGTTTTCAAAGATCAAGGATCTGGATTTTGGGTAACTGGTAAAATTGAAGCTGGTTATATACAAACTGGTGACCGACTTCTAGCAATGCCTCCTAATGAAACTTGTACTGCAAAAGGAATTACTCTGCATGATGAACCTGTTGATTGGGCGGCGGCGGGTGATCATGTTAGTCTTACTTTGGTTGGGATGGATATCATCAAAATCAACGTTGGCTACATATTTTGTGGCCCCAAAGAACTCATTAAAGCTTGTACTCGTTTCCAAGCCCGAATCCTCATCTTTAATATTGAAATTCCTATCACTAAAGGATTTCCTGTGCTGTTACACTACCAAACTGTCAGTGAACCTGCCGTTATTAAACGATTGATTAGCGTCTTAAACAAAAGCACGGGTGAAGTCACAAAGAAAAAGCCTAAGTTGTTGACTAAAGGCCAGAATGCATTGGTAGAGTTACAGAGACAGCGACCAATTGCTCTTGAGCTATACAAAGACTTTAAAGAGCTGAGGAGGTTTATGCTGCGTTACAGTGGTTCCACAATAGCTGCTGGTGTTGTCACTGAGATAAAAGAATGATGGGTCAGAATTTCTACGACGTGTCCAAATTCAATGAAATAGCTAACCTCAGTTTTAAAGAATCCAGTTATTCAGTCAAAAGAACAATGTGAAATTGATATTTTTTTAGATGAGAGAGAAAATTAAAGCTATAATTAGCTGCAAAACAAGTGTTAATCACTCCTTCGAAAGTTTCAAGTTGCCAACTGGTAAAGAAAGGCTAATATTGTCCTTTCATTTAAAAACCAGCATTCCCTTTGAAATGTTAGTAAATGGATTTACTGTCCTGGGATTTATGGAGAGTATCAGGAATAGTATTAGAAGATATTGAATCATCATGAAATGAACTCTACTTCTAATCAAACCACAAAATATTTGCAGTTTTCTCTTTTGATTCAACTATAGTGCACATGTTTTAAGGAAAAGTATCCAAACTGGGTTTTTAAGGTAGTTGATATTTGACTTGAGCACATTTTTAGTTAATGCTAAGAAAAGATTTGCTGAAGGTTATAATAAAGATATTTTGTGTTGAGCATAAGAATGTCTCCAACAAGTAAACTTTTGAAAGCTTAGTATGGAATTAGTGGAAGCTGTTACTTTGGTAACCAAGGTGTTATTTAAGTTGTAAAGCCAGCTAATAAAATGCCTTAGTTTGAGCATAACGCAAAATGTGTTTTGTTCCTGAGACATTTATGAGATTCTCTACCACTACCACTAAATATGATTTGGGAGTCTTTTTCACCTCTGGGTTTTCTGATTCTTTCACATAAATTCTTGCTTTTTATCCTAACAGCAGATCAAATTTAATCTTATCCATTTCTAACTATAACTAGGTTTTCCTATTCTCACTTTTTTACTATATCTTTGTCTTCCATACCTTACAGACTAAGTCCTCTACAAGTCAGAGTTGTTTTTCTTGATAGTTTCAAACTTCAAGGTTTACTTGTTTAATAAATATTTGTAGCGCTGCCACCTAGGTACAAGAAGCTTAAGAGTAGATTTTGTCTTCAGCTGACCCTGGAACTCTGATCTGATGGACTATTTGACAAACTTTTTTTATTAGAAAACAATGTGGGCTAGGTGCGATGGCTCACGCCTATAATCCTAGCACTCTGGGAGGCTGAGGCGGGTGGATTGCTCAAGGTCAGGAGTTCAAAATCAGCCTGAGCAAGAGTGAGACCCCATCTCTACTATAAATAGGAAGAAATTAATTGGCCAACTAACATATATATAGAAAAAATTAGCCGGGCATAGTGGCGCATGCCTGTAGTCCCAGCTACTCGGGAGGCTGAGGCAACAGGATTGCTTGAGCCCAGGAGTTTGAGGTTGCTGTGAGCTAGGTTGACGCCACGGCACTCACTCTAGCCTGGGCAACAAAGTGAGACTCTGTCTCAAAAACAAAACAAAACAAAACAATGTGATTTGTATGTGGATGGCTTACCACATACAACAGCATTTCTTCTTATTTGAAGAATAACATCTATATGGTAAAAGTGCACAGATCATAATGTGCTGCTTGGTGAACACGCCTGTACGTTTCTTCACTAAAATGTATTTGTGTAATTGTCACTTCAGAGTAAACTTGCTGAGGTAAGAGTGTTTTATTTATATATTAATCAGGAATTGAATAAATACATGGGACAGAAGCCTAACTTCAAATGACTTAGGCAGCAAAGAAAATTTTTTGACTGAGGTAACTGAAAAATTAGAGGTTGCTCTAGCTTTGAATCAATCTAGATCCTACAATTCACACATTGTCAGCAAGTACTTATCTCTACTTTCCCCTCTTCAGTGTTGGTTTTACCCTCAGAGCCTGTACAGGTTCTTGGCAGGATATGATGATTCTACACTTATATCCTCAGACCCTCCAAACAGGGCAAGGATAGGCTAAAAGAGTATGTCTTTTCCAGAAATCCTAGAAACATCTCATCATTGACTATGACTGAGTTTTCCTTTTTTCCCTAGGATAGCCTCTGGTTGGGTACAAATTAATATGACCCAAAGCACCCAGCTGACAGTTGTGGGAGGGTTGGAAATTCAGAGTGTTATTAGGGAGGGGAAATAGATTGGAGTGGAGGAGCAAAACCAAGAAACCATCTTGTGTGTGTGTGTGTGTGTGTGTGTATACACACACACATATATGTAGACATGATAGAATTAAGAATTTCAGTCAAGAATTTAGCATAAACAAATAGTAGTGGTAGAAATGAATTTCTTCCTTCTTAAAGGAAGTGATATAGTACAGTCTTTTTATCTGCATACAATTGATTATTGCCAAAGGGAGTGGTGATATTATTAAGAGGACAACTGTGGGAGAAGAGTATTGGCAGTGGAAGGTTGGGGTTAAGTAAGTGAAAAGAAGTAGAGCAGGCTGCCCTTGATTATGGTCTCTTTTCCTCACTCTGATACTTCCTTGTATACTTACCAGTACATCCATTTTGTGTCATTTTGCTTCCAGTACGTCTTGTCTTGACTTCTTCCTTATTATGGTTTCACTGTTTCTTCACACCCATGGCTTTGTCCTCTGACCTTGATTCTTTGGGAGGTTCTCCTGATTAATTACCTCTAGGGTAATTTGGCTTAAAAACATTACAGGACCATGTTTTGACTTGTTAGTGTTATTTAATACATTCATTTATGACAATATTTGAGCCTCTCTGTATCATGAGAAATGTTTTAGACATTGTCTTTTTTTCCTATGAATATGCAAATAAATAATTTTAACCATAAAAAAAAAAGAAAAGTGCAACTGTAAGAGAGCTGTTCAGTTGCTTTAGTCTCTTTGCTAGTGTATTCAGATCACCTAATATCTACTCTTTAGGGTCTGATATGGTGGAAAGATGTAATTTACATCTTTTATCTTGACATATAAAGGTGAAAGAGACTATTCAAAAGAAGCATGTAAGTATTCATTCAAAGATATTTTCTTTTTTTTGACATTTGCTATTTTATTTTTATTTTTAATTTTTTTTCACTCCAGGCAGGAATGTTCCATGCACATTATTATTTTTATTTTTTTATTACAGCATATTATGGGGGTACATACAAATGTTTAGGTTACGTGTGTTGCCTTCCTCCCTCCCCGACCCCCAGAGTCAGAACTTCAAGCGTGTCCATCCCCCAGATGGTTCCCCTCACACCCATTATGTATATATATTCCCATCCCCACCTCCCCTTCCCACCTGCCCAACACCCGATAAATGTTATTCCTATATGTCTACTTAGGTGTTGATCAGTTAATACCAATTTGCTGGTGAGTACACTTGGTGCTTATTTTTCCATTCTTGGGATACTTCGATTAGTAGAATGGGCTCCATATCTATTTTCTTAATATACAAGATATCCTCATAGTCATTTGGATATTGTACTACTTTCTGCTGTCCTTAAAAGCAAAAATTTTTAGCATATGTCCTATCTAACTATGATCCTTTTAACATTCATTTCAGTTATTTTATGTTGAGGCTTTACAGGAATTAAAATGATTAGATAATCACTTTAGTAAACTGTGTCTTTTTTCACCCTAAACAGATCCATAAGGCAAACTGCTACTCACCTGTAGATCAACTATCATTAAGGTATATGTGACTTGGTAAACGCACAGGACAAGCACTACTTGACAGTAATGATTTGTTCTTTTAGGTAGAGGAAAGGATTTCAGGGTTATATTTGAATAATACTGATAAAATATAACATTCATAGGTACAATTCTTTAAAACTCTGAAAAGCACAGAGATTGCTCATAATGAAAACCACTCCTTTCTATGTCTTAATATCAATTAATCATCTATGTTGTATAAACATATAAACTTTGTCAATTTTTCTCTTATGTCACACATATTAATAATGAAATAAAACTATCAAAAATTATTTTACTTTATATGCTAAATACTTCCATATTTTTGACACTTAACAAGAAAATCACAGAACCAGCTAACTTCACAAAGGAGAGGAGCATAGCTGTTGAAAACTCAATAACCAGCTGATAATAAATTGCAACTTGTGACCAGGATATCTATTGAGAAATGAAATATCTATATTGCTAATGTGATTACATTATAAAGATTTTTCATATATGATTACACATTTTTTTCTACTGCTTTCAGTAATGAAGCCAGTAGAAGTCATCAAAATTAAATCTGATAGGAAGTCAGATAACTCAGAATCTGTACTAGGAAATAAAGACTCCATGTAAGTACATCTGTTCAGCCCAGCTCAGATCTACAAACAACTAAGCTGTTTGGCACTCTGTTAGCAAGCTTGGCAGAGATCCAGAAGATTGAATGGAGATGAATTCTTAATGACTTCCTAACATTTAGTTGGGGGACTCTTTCCAGAAGGAGATTGAGACACAAGAATTACAATTATGGAATGAGGGAATCGGGTACTTTAGGCTTTTCCCTGTTAGTATGGAAATATACGAAGTCAGTTCTCAGCAGACATGAGATTCTGCCATTAGACTTAAATGAAAGTAAAGGAGTCATCAATAGAAATTCTTCAATATAAATTTAGAATGTTAGGGTTTTTATTGAACAAAGAGCATTCATGTTGGGCATCTTCTGAGAATCTTTCAAATATTTAGAGATAGCTGTTTTCCTAAATCTTCTCAGGTCTAGGTTATGCATTTTCCTTTCTGAACAATTCCAAATAGAAATCACATTGATATTTAGTGGTATCTGATCCTATGCTATGAATCTCTATGTGATCACATGTTCAATTTTAACACGGTGAAATTTCATGTGCTAGATTAAATATCTCTTGCTCAGTTACATATTTTGGAAAGTTGCTTTAAAATAAGAATCATCATCAATAATGAATTCTAGAATGAGAATATCATTCCCTTTTTTCCCTGAAAATTTTCCTTAAGTTAGATTAGTCATATTCTCCCAAAGTCTTGACTCCAGTGCATTCTCTGCTTATTTCTTCCAGATCCAGCTGCAGCTAACCGTCTTTATCTGTGCTGTCCAACATGGCAATCACTAGCCATAGGAGGCTACCCAGCACCTGAAATGCATCTAGTCTGAGTTGACTTTTGATGCAAATATAAAATACATGCTGATTGTGAGGATGAAATATGAAAATGAATGAAAATGTCTCCATAAGTTTTTATGTGGACATAAAACATATTATTT